AGCTACATAGGTAAGAAAAGGTCAGGCTGGGTGGCTGGGTGGGTGTCACCAGGCTGCGCTCTGGAGAGAATACAGTGTTGGTGACCCCTTCAAGCTGATCCAACTTGGTATGCTTGCATCCAGCAGAAAGTGGGGAGGAGCAGTTTCTGGGATCTAGGCTCCGGGTTCAGCTCTGTTATTTAACCCTCTCTCTGACCTTGGCTGACTTGGGTAGTTAATTGTGCTTAGGTTGGCTGTTACCGTGCTTGGCTTCAGAAGGTCACATAATGCCTCTAGAAGCCCTTGGCACTTTGAGCTGGCTGTGGTAATGTAAGCCTGTAATCCCAGTACTCCAGATTCGAGGCTGGCGGTGGCTAGATGAGATCCCGTCTCAGAAAAGAAAAGTGACTGTGTGTAGGGCTGGAAAGCTGGTCAGCAGAAGTGGGAGCCTGTGGGTGGGCCGGCCGGTGCAGGCTGGATAGGCCAGGAGGAGCTAGCCTGTGGGCTCTGGGCTGGAGGGAAGGGAGCGTGTGTGAGGCCGAGGATCTGCTGCTGAGTTCTTTCTGCTTCCTCACAGCTCAGCTGATGAAGAACACAGGAGTGATCCTTGCCAATGATGCCAATGCTGAGCGGCTCAAGAGCGTGGTGGGCAACCTGCATCGGTTGGGAGTCACCAACACCATTATCAGCCACTACGATGGGCGCCAGTTCCCCAAGGTGGGCCTCTTGTCTTCCTGAGCTCCAGGTTACCTTGCCCTTGGTGACCCCGATGTGTGTTGGCGCTGTCCTTAGGAAGTTAGCAGTGCCGGTTGCCGCGGGCATCAGGTTGACTTCCTTTTCCCAGGTGGTGGGGGGCTTTGACCGAGTGCTCCTGGATGCTCCTTGCAGTGGCACTGGAGTCATCTCCAAGGACCCTGCTGTGAAGACTAACAAGGTACGGGCCTGGGTGGGGTGGGCTTGGCTGTGGGGCTGCGGTGTTGGAGTCAGAACGCCCTGAGGGCAGCAGCTGCCTTCCTCAGGCTGCATTCTGAAGTCTCCACCCCTGGTTCCTGGACAGGATGAGAAGGATGTCCTGCGCTGTGCCCACCTTCAGAAGGAACTGCTGCTCAGTGCTATCGACTCGGTCAACGCTGCCTCCAAGACCGGGGGCTACCTGGTCTACTGTACCTGTTCCATTATGGTGAGATCCCGGCAGAGCCGGGAGGCTGGGTGTGAAGGTCGTTGACTCGGAGCGCACTCAGACCCGCTCCATCCCTCCGGCTTTGTCTTTCCAGGTGGAAGAGAATGAGTGGGTGGTAGACTATGCCCTGAAAAAGAGGAATGTGCGGCTGGTGCCCACGGGCCTAGACTTCGGCCAGGAAGGTTTTACCCGCTTTCGAGAAAGGCGCTTTCACCCCACTCTGCGGTCCACACGACGCTTCTACCCCCACACTCACAACATGGACGGTTTCTTTATCGCCAAGTTCAAGAAGTTTTCCAACTCTATCCCCCAGCCCCACACAGGTAGTTTGCTCTCCTCACCTTTCCTCTTCCTGTCTTTTTTTTAATGTGTGTGTGTGTGTGTGTGTGTGTGTGTGTGTGTGTGTGTGTGCAGTGTGATGCATGTGTAGTAGAGGTGTGCTCATGTGCATGGGGAAGCTGGAGCTCAACTTCAAGGCAATGGCCTCTGTTCTCCACCTTACTTAATTGCGTTTTACTTATTTTGTGTGTGTATATGTGTGCGGGCATGTGCATGCCACAGTACACCTATGAAGGTCAGAGAATAACTTTTGGGAGTTCTCTGTTTTCTACTATGTGGGTCCTGATCAAACTCAGGCTTGGCAGCAGGTACCTTTACCTGCGGGGCCCATCCCTACTTTTTTTTTTTTTCAAGATTTATTTATTTATTATGTATACAGCGTTCTGTCTGCACATACGCCTGCACACCAGAAGAGGCTGCCAGATCTCATTACAGGTGGTTGTGAGCCACGATGTGGGTCCTGGGAATCAAACCTAGGTCCTCTTCAAGAGCAGCCAGTGCTCTTAACCTCTGAGCCATCTCTCCAGCCCCCACCCCTACTTTTAAAAAGAATATTTTAAAAAACATTTGTTCATTTCTATAGTGTGTTTTAGATCAAGTCTCTTAACTCCTCCCCTGCCCCCGCTTTGCCTCCCCAAGTCCATGCAGGGTTGACTGTGTGGATGGGTGTGGGGCCGTTTCCTGGAGCCCAAGGAACCTCTCGGCCTCATCCCTGAAGCCTGACCCCACCCTCAGCAGCAATCAGCTGGCAGGAGCTCCTAAGAGTAGCTTCATAACCACCCACCCCCACCCTCACCCCCACTCCCACCCCCGGACGCCCACACCTCACTTTACTCTTTTTTTTTTTAAGCTAAGCTGCTGTCTGGAACACGATCACCCAGGATCCGCCTGCAGTTCTGACTCCTAGCTTTTTTTTTTTCCCCACTTGGGTGCCAGTGATCCAAACTCGGTCCTTGTGCTTGCTTACCAAGCACTTTACCCACTAATCCATCTCCCCACCTGCTTTCCACTTTTCTAGAGGCTGCAGGTGACAGGGGGGTGGGGGGGGACGACGGGGGTGGGGGTGGGGTGGGGGGACTGGTTGTTGTTTTTTTTTAACCCAGCCACTGTGTGCTTGGATGAGACCCTGTCATCCGGGCCATGTTGTCCTGAGTCCTGCCTGTTTGAGCAGGTTAAGATAGATGGGTCTTTTGTTTGGTTTAGCCTCAGTGCGTTCCCATTGCAGGTCCAGGTTGTGGTTTCCTTTGATTCCTGGCTCAGCTCCGGCCCAGCATCTCCACACTGCATTGGTAGGCTCTGCCAGAGCCCTGAGCTGTTCTCCGGGCCTGCCCCTGATTGCAGTTTGTTTTCTCAGCCATCTTGATGCTGGCCTGTATCTCAGGGGAGGGTGGGGCTTTCTGGAACAGCACTGAGCTTGGTGTTGGTTGGAAGATGGCCAGAAAGAGCATCTGAATACAGTGTGTGACTTCTGGTAGCTGCAGACCCAGTGCGTGCCAGCTCGGTGCTCCGTCTCTGAGCGCACTATAGCCTTTTGTCCCTTTTTAAACAAGGTTCCTTACAAAAGTCAGCATAGAGCAGAAACCTGGAGAAACAGCACATCTGAAGAGGCAGAGGCAGCCGGGCGGTGGTGGCGCACGCCTTTAATCCTAGCACTCGGGAGGCAGTGGTAGGCAGATCTCTGGGTTTGAGGCCAGCCTGGTTTCTTTGTAGTAAGTTCAAGACCAACCAAGGCTTCGTAGGAGACCTAGTCTCAGAAACCTAAGAAGTAGCAAGTTTTGATACTGTTCTCATTGATACTTACTAGCAGGTCTCTGGTTGAGTTTGCTGTCTTATTCCTGCATTGAATGGAAATGCTTGATGGAGAAAACTCTCTACTGGGATTTCAAAAACAATTGGGACTTACCTCCTCCTTAGAGTGTCTTGTTACATACTGCCCTCAAGGGGGCGCAGCTTCCTAGGAAAACATTTTGGCTGAGACTAGACAGTGATTCCTTAACAGAGGGTCCTGCATTAGGTACCTAAAGCAGGGTCTTAATGTGTGAAACTCTTGGTCTAGAGGTGCCAAAATAAACCCCTCCCTCCCTCCCTCCTTTCTCTTTTGTTTTTTTCAAAACAGGTTTCTCTGTACTCTGGCTGTCCTGGAACTCGCTCTGTAGCCCTGGCTGGCCTCGAACTCAGAGATCCATCTGCCTCTGCCTCCAGAGTGCTGGGATTAAAGGCGTGCGCCGCCGCCTAACAACCTCCTTGTTTCTTAATGATCAAACCTGCTCTTTAATTTTTACCTCAGGAAATGCAGCAGCAGCTACTCCTGCAGAGCCTGAGCTGAAGGATGAGGTCACCCCCACGTCTGAGAACAGTAGTCAGCTGGCCAGGAGAGCTGCGGGAGCTGCAAAGGCACAGCAGGCGCTGGGGAGACCGAGGCACTCCAGAAAGCCCTTCCAGAAGATGAACGGCCTCTCCAGAGGGCCAGGCTCAGGACCCACTGTCCCCTCTGTCCCAAAGGCCCAAGTGTCCGCCAGGCCCCAGGAGAGCGCTCAGCCTGACGGAAGAGCTGGAGTGATCAGGGAACCAAAGGTGGCCGGGAAGCTAAAGCGAAGGGGACCTAAACCAAAGGACTCCAAGGAAGCTGCTGTCCCAGAGCAGAAAGGCCCTCCCGGCGGCGTGGACTCGGAAACACCCGCTCTGCCTCCAGGCTCTGAGAGCCGCACTGCCCCGCGGCTTAAGGACTGTGCTCAGTCCCTTGGGAAAACCAAAAAGATTGAAAAAGGAAAGCAGCAGTTAGCAGAGCAGCCTGCCAAGAGAGCTGCCTCCCTAAAAGAGGATGGTGCCCCCAAGGGGCCCGCAGTCCCCACAGGGTCTCCCCACGGTTCCACCAGGCCCCCACCAGCAAAGAGGAGGAAATCGGTGACAAAGGGCAGTGGCCAGCCACTGTTCTGTTAATGGACTTGGAAACTGGACTGCTGGCTCACTCGCATTGTCTCCGGGTTGGACTCCCGCGTCCTTCTGCAATCATGGCCTCCCCACTGTGCATAAACATGAAATTTAATACACCTATTTCCACCCTAGTCACTGCTGTCTTTTTTTAGGGGCTGGGTATTGGCAGCTTGTGGGAAGGTGGGCCTGGGATCTTGAGACAAACAGCTGGGCATTTCTTCAATGATAGGTTCCTCCCATTTCTTGGTCTCCCAGGGAACAAGCCGTAGAATCGGGTTTAGGGCACTGGGGAGAAGAAGACAGTAGGGGTTTTGGGGAGACAGTCTTCCACCACTGGTGCCCCTTAGGTACCGAGGTCCTGGACTCTTAGGCTGCGGCTCGCTCCCCAGGGATGAAGGGCTAGTCAGCTTCCTTGTGTGTTGACTCCAGACCCGGAAAGGTCCAGGGCTAAGCCTCTAGCGGGGGCCTTTCATTGGCTTCCTCTGGTCCCGCCCTCACGACCTCTGCCCTCCTGCCGGGCCGTCTGATTGGTCGCTCGTTTCCCGCAGGCGCCTCATTGGCTCTTGTCCTCACCCTCTGCTGCACTGGTCTCCATCTCCCAGCAGAAGGCGCAGCCATGAATCCGTTATTCGGTCCCAATCTCTTCCTCCTACAGCAGGAGCAGCAGGGCTTGGCCGGGCCGCTGGGGGACCCTCTGGGAGGTGACCACTTTGCCGGGGGAGGGGACCTGCCCCCGGCTCCGCTTGCCTCGGCGGGCGCCGCTGCCTACTCGCCTCCCGGGCCTGGTCCTGCGCCCCCTGCAGCCATGGCTCTCCGCAACGACCTGGGCTCCAACATCAACGTACTCAAGACCCTGAACCTCCGGTTTCGCTGCTTCCTAGCCAAGGTGCACGAGCTAGAGCGCCGGAACCGGCTGCTGGAGAAGCAGCTGCAGCAGGCTCTGGAGGAGGGTAAGCAGGGCAGGCGGGGCCTGGCCCGCCGCGACCAGGCGGTACAGACCGGCTTCATCAGCCCGATCCGGCCCCTGGGGCTGCCCCTGAGCTCCCGGCCCGCCGCTGTGTGTCCCCCGTCAGCGCGGGTGCTGGGCTCCCCCGCCCGCTCGCCAGCCGGACCCCTCGCATCCTCTGCGGCCTGCCACTCATCCTCCTCCACCTCCACCTCCACCTCCTTCTCCTCGTCGACCCGCTTCATGCCCGGCACCATCTGGTCCTTCTCACACGCCCGCCGGCTTGGACCGGGACTGGAACCCACGCTTGTGCAAGGGCCTGGCCTGTCGTGGGTACACCCTGACGGGGTGGGCGTTCAGATCGACACCATCACCCCGGAGATCCGCGCACTGTACAACGTGCTGGCCAAAGTGAAGCGGGAGCGGGACGAGTACAAGCGGAGGTAGGGACCTGGAAAGTAGGGACAGGGTTCAAGAGACATGACACCCATAGACACAACCTGGCAGGGAGTTAGTGAGGGGTTCCCAGACCCGAGGATCATGACAACAAGAATAAAGTTCCTGCTGTGCTAGTGAGGAGCTGGGAAGGAACTGGATGCAGGGGCCCCAGAGTCCACAGACAATTCTCAAGTCAGACTCGTGACTAGAAGCATTCTAGAAGAACACTGGGAATTCATACTTTGCGTCTGGCATGTCTCCCCGGCTTATGCAGGCTGCAGTGTTTGCATGACTTCGCTAACTGTGGGGTGGTGTGTGGTGTGGAAGGGAGACGTATCCCCGAGAGCACCGCATCTGTGGTCTAGTTCTCTGGCCGGTCTCAGACCTTGGGGCAGTTTCAGGATATAAACTCCACGCTTGGGGTGAAGGATGTAGTTTTAATTTTGTAGGTAAATTAAGTGGGACTGGAAGGAGGTAGTGAGAAGGGGGCTGTGTCTGCCCAAGGTTTTCTGAAGGCAAGCCCAGGGCTCCGTTTGGTTCCATATGAGAGGCTCGAGGCTCCAGAACCTAAAGGCATTGCTTGGAACAGTCAGGCAAACAGGGAGAGAGAAAGAAAGTGTAGACTATCGTAGGACAGGGAGAAGGGGTGGTAGTTGGTGGGGCTGGTAGGGAGGCCCTTGCAGAAGAATCACCAACCGGGCCATCCGGGATGGAAAAAGAAAAAGCTGGGGGAGTGGGCATCCCCTACAGTTATGGAGTATCTCAGGGCCAGCCCAGGGTGTTCCGAGGATGAAGGTTTGGCTCTCTGAGAGGAACCCCGCCCCCAACAGGTTGGCACAAAAGTTAGGAGGAAGGGATGTCATGTTGGAGTGCCCGCTATTTACCAGGAGGAGTCACTGGTGGCTGGTAACCAGGCGATGATAGGATGGTCACAGGCAGAGTGAGTTCTTTGAAAACTGACCAGACTGTGGTGGAGGGGGAAGCAGATGGCAGCCAGGGAGGCCCAGGCTTGGGTTTCTCAGCTAATGTGACCCTTGTGGGTCTAGCCTGGGCTGCCTGTGCAGGCCAGGGTGGCAGGGATTGCCCTCTGGTTAGCTGTGTGTGGGGACCATCTGGAGGCCCTGGGAACACAGTGCTGGGTCTGGAATGACCTTCAGGGCTTGGTAACCTGTTAGCATCCACCCAGTTACATGTATCAGCAGGCTTTCTGAAGTTCAGTCCTCACACTGGCTTCCATGACTGTGGCCCAAGTTAGAATTGTCTTTGGGCTTTCAGTTGTCCCAGCATCCAGGTACCACCCAGAACTAGGCTGCACCTGCCTCTGCCCCCACAGGGCTTAACACAGGATGGAACACTTGACAGTTCTAGAGTTCTGCCATAATCCTAGGAACAGCTGCTCTTCTCCAGGGCATCTTTTAAAACAGAGAGCATTTGTCCTTGGTACAGCTGTCCAGGGCAGCAAAGAGTTATTCCTTGGGGATTGATTACCTCATCACTCTGCAGCACATTACTGTGCGGTGGCTAGACGTGCAAGGTACGTGACGCCCCACCACCCCAGAGCCCCTGCCTTCCTTCTGGGCTCATAGCAACACTGAGCTCCCCATCTTTAGCCTGGACATGGGGTGCTTGAGTACGAAACTGGGCAGGAGCAAAGCCCCACCCCCAAGCCCTATTTCCAGCTCCTTATCCTGTGTGACCTTTTTCTTGGGGTTCAGTTTTTCCAACATAAGAATGACCCCTGCTTTTTCTCTTCAACTCAGAGATAGGGTTTATTTGCAGGAGATGCTCCTGGTAAATGCAGGATGTACAGACATTGCCCAAATTCTACCCAAGTTATGGTAACTTTGCAAAAAAAAAAAAAAAAAAAAGGTGAGGGTTGATGGAAGTCATACCGCACCCATTGTGTGTCTGGGTGGAGAGCAAATAGAGTCCTCATGAGCATCCAGATGAGTCATTTTCAGACTTTTTATCCTGTATGATCTAGCTCATTAATCATCATCTTGCCTTAACTTTCTCATGTCTTACTTGGATGTATTGAGTTCATTATGAAGTAGGATTTCTGCCCCTTCCTGATGCACCTTGGCCAGGGGTTTGACCTCTTGTCATCCTGTGGTCTTTCTCCAGAGACTCACAGGGTCTAGCACACAGGAGGCCACTTCCCACACTTGCGCGTTGTAGATGAAGAAACCAGGACCCAGCAGAGACGAAGGTCTCGTCTAAGAAAGTGTATAGCTTGAGGCCAGCAGAGTTGTCATTGCTAGGACAAAAGGAGAAGCAGATATGGGGGGTGTGGGGGGACAGGGAAGGGGGTGGAGGGTGAGGGAGGCCAGGAGCTGAGCTGCATGGTCAGCTGCAGGGTGGTGGCTGGGCTGGCCGCCTCTTCCCTCAGCCAACTGGGAGGGGCATCTGGGGAGTTATTATTAGGAGCACTGCAGTGCGGCTGTGAGTGCAGAGACAGGGACGCCAGCCGAGGGGGTGAGGGGCAGGAGAGGAGGGAGGGCCGCAAGGAGCGTTGCCCCCCTGGCTGCAGGGGCCGTCCTCCGCCGCCGCCTCCTTCCCACTGAGCTCATTTTGAGCCTTCTTCGGCTCCCTTGCCCTCCTTTCTGAGGCCAGAAGGATTCCACACAGAGGACAGCCAGAAGTGATGAGCTCATGCACCCAGGCTTTGAGTCCGGCCGCTGGTGCAGCCAGCCTCGGGTTCCGAACCTGCAGGACCAAACAGCAGCCCTCCCCTCCGTCTCTGTGACAGGATGGGGTGCGCCCTTAGCCCTGGCTACTGCCCCTAGGCTCTGCCCCATGGCAGGCGTGTCTTCCAAGCTCCTGGCCATCTCTGGTTTGAACTCTGTTGAGATGCTGTGCTGTTTAGAGGGGCCTTCCTACACTCGGGTTCCCTGTCCCTTGGCTGTGACTCCTTAGCAGTCCCTAGCTTCTGATGGCCACTTCTTTCACGCTGCTGGGAGGGTGGGGGGGCATCACGCCAGCCCTGTGACCTTCTTATGGCTCACTTTAAGGGACTGGGTGGGGAAGGACTTTGCCCCCACAAGGCTGCCGAGCAGCTCTTGATCCAGCCTGTGTCCTGCAGATGCTTTCGCAGGTTTAAATGGTACCCAGGAGGCAGGGCAACAGACTAACAGGCTCTGTTCTGTGCGGGCAGGAGCGGGAGACCGGATCTGTACCACTGAAGGTGGGAGCCTGGGTTGAGGGGGGGACCTGGTGGACTGGTGTGGGCAGGAGGTGGGGGATGAGTCCAGCCAGACAGCTGGCGGAACCGGGCCCACGTGGGGATGGGTACTGCAGAGGGCCAAAGTGGTGGCAGTTGTTCTTAAATATAGTTCCTGGTCCATGGTCCGGAGGTTCTGGGCAGGCAGATGGTGATCTCAGCCCTTGCCAGGAAGTATGGAGCCACCCGACAGCTGCAGCCGCCCACTGGCTGGCTGCCGCATACATTCTTGTCTCCACACATTCCCATCCAGGGAGCCAGACCTGGGGTCTGAGGCCTGGGCCTGAGAGGGAGGGAGGGAGGGCCAGGAGCTGGAGCGGCAGGAGGACTCTAGGCTGTGTTCTCTCCCCCTTCCCAATGTCTGTCAGGTGGGAAGAGGAGTACACGGTGCGGATACAGCTGCAGGAGCGAGTGAATGAGCTCCAGGAGGTGAGGGCGGCCACCCTCCTGCCCCTGCTCCCCTGGGGCACCACTGGGCCCTCCCTGTCCCTCCCATACCTTTTCCCACATTGACATCATGGCCTCATTTCCTCCTGGCTGTAGGAGGCCCAAGAGGCCGATGCCTGCCAAGAGGAGCTAGCCATGAAGGTAGAGCAGCTGAAAGCCGAGCTGGTGGTCTTCAAGGGACTCATGAGTAACGTGAGTTCCGACTTCCCACTTGGCTCTCAGGGACCCTCAGATGGTCTGCGGGCCCCTACCCTTCAGTGTCCTGTCCTTTCGAGCTGTTGCTCTTCGCTGCTATCTTCTAGACAGAGCCACCTCACCATGACTAGAGGTTGTTAAGCTGTTAGTAAGAGCACAGCTCTGCGCTCTCTGGTGGCTCACACCCATGATCCCAGCGCTTGAGAGGTGGAGGCAGAATGGTCAGAAAGATGAGGGGTTCGAGGCCAGCATGAACTACGTTAAAAGAAAAAAGAGAACGTGCGCAGCTCCGGAGCCAGCTGCCTAGGCTCCTTTGTGAGTTCTGCCATGTGCTAGCTGTGTGGCCTTGAGCCTCTTCCTCCCCACCACACCTCCTCTCTGAGGAATGTGGGGAAGGAAAGCCTTCTCAGGCTTGCCTTGAGGAGGATCATGCCCCTGCCTGGCGCTTAGTGCTGGACAGGTGAGACCAGTGTCTATTGTCACTGTCCAGTACTTTCTCCACTCTTTTTTTTTTTCTGAGACAGGGTTTCTCTGTGTTGCCCTGGCTGTCCTGGAACTTGCTCTGTAGGCCAGGCTGGCCTCGAACTCACAGAGATCCGCCTGCCTCTGCCTCCCGAGTGCTGGGATTAAAGGCGTGCACCACCACCTGGCTGTCCACTCTTACCCCAGTCAGTGGCCAGTGGTGTCTTTCATCTCTGGGGTCTTACATTTCAGGAGGATAAAAAACTGTGGTTGGTTCAAGGGAGGCTCTGTTCATCCCAGCCTGGGCCTCCCGGGTCTGTACTGCCTGAGGGACGGGTATCACGAGTGCCCTGTGGAGGTGCACAGTGTGGTAGGGTGGGCCCCTGGGAAAAGGGACATTCATCCAGCAAGGTCAGGGACTTTGTGGAGGAGGTGAGAGTGTGTGCTACTAAGGATGAAGATCTTGCTGGGGCTTTATCTGTCCCCGCTGGGGGGGCTGGGTGTCTCCTCACCCTTCCCTGTGTTCCTGGTACAGAATCTGACAGAGCTGGATACCAAGATCCAGGAAAAGGCCATGAAGGTAGACATGGACATCTGCCGCCGCATCGACATCACAGCCAAGCTGTGTGACTTGGCCCAGCAGCGCAACTGTGAGGATATGATCCAGATGTTCCAGGTGAGAGGCCTGCTGTCCGCAGCTCCCAGGGGCGGGCCAGGTGGAGAAGCTCTGTTGTCATGGCTGGCCTGCATCTCAGGCCCTGCTACCCCTCACCTCTGGGACACAGCTTGGCCCCTGGGGCCCTTGGTGGGACTAGGCTGGGAGGCAGGGACGGCCTCAGGAGAGGGGTCTCAGAAGCCGTCTCTAACTCCGTCTCCCCCTCCCCCCTGTCTGCTTCTCTCCTCTGCCCCTCTCATTTCTTCTCTTGCTTTCTCCATAGAAGAAGCTGGTTAGTGTGACCTCACGCAAGCTTACTGTCCTGGTCCCGTCTCTAAGCACCCCTGCCCCCCCAGTTTTGAACCACTGGGCTCAGCCAGATGTCCTCTTCCTCTGCTTTCCTCGATCCTCCCCGTTTCAGTCTCTTCCCCGTTGGTTTTTCTTCCTTTTCCTTCTCCCATGGCCGTCCAGATCTGGCTGTGACTCCTAGGCCTCTTCTCCTCCTCGAAGCCTCGAACTGTTTTCAGTTGAGTCCTTTCATGAGAAAGCCTTCAAGACTAAACACAGCCCCATCCCTCGGTAGCCATTAAACATCTTTTTTCTTTTTCTAAAGATTGGTTTTGTGTGTATGGTATTTTACCACATGAGTGCCTCGTGCCTGAGGATGCCAGAGAGGCCATTGCATTCCATTGGAACTGGAGTGACGGAGGGCTCTGAGCCGCCACGTGGCTGCTGGGAATTGAACCCGGGTCCTCTGGAAGAGGATCCAGCGCTCTTAACTGCTGAGCCATCTCTCCAGCCCCCATTAAACACATCTCAATGTAGTCACCACAAAACATGTCTCTCCTTATCTTACTGCTCTGTTTTCTGTTTCTCCTTCCTTCTTCGTCCGCAGCCCTGCCCCATATCTGTGTGTGTCTGCCCGTGTCTTAGTGACTCTCCTGTTTCTGTTCTTGTCATGTAATTGTGTCTCTTCTCTGTCTGCCCCTTCCTGCTGGCCCTGCTCCACCCTGCGGCCTCCCTGCCCACCCTCTCCTCATGCACCCGGCCTCGCCTCTGTAGTCTCTACACTTGTCTCCCATTAAGGTCCCGTCCATGGGGGGGCGGAAGCGGGAGCGCAAGGCTGCTGTGGAGGAGGACACCTCCCTGTCGGAGAGTGATGGGCCCCGCCAGCCTGAGGGGGACGAGGAGGAGAGTACAGCCCTCAGCATCAACGAGGAGATGCAGCGCATGCTCAGCCAGCTGTGAGTCCCGAGGATGTCAGGTCCATCCCAGCCGCCCTCAGCAGATGTGCCCCAGTCCCCCGAGGCCGGAGCTCCCATAGTGTCCTGGGCCCGCTCACAGGCCCCGGCGCCCGCCCTTGACACACGGGTTCCCTGTCTCTAGGAGGGAGTATGATTTTGAGGACGACTGTGACAGCCTGACTTGGGAGGAGACTGAGGAGACCTTGCTGCTTTGGGAGGATTTCTCAGGCTATGCCATGGCAGCCACAGAGGCCCAGGGAGAGGTAACCTCCCCTCCTGGCCTCAGGCCCCTCAGGCTCTGCCCCTGTGCCCTGCCACATTGTCTGCCTCCCCTTCTCATGCTCTGTCCCCAGTGTGGCTTTGTCTCCCCCTGGCTCCTCCCCTTCCTGTCTGCGTCCTTCCTCGCCTCTGTCTCCTCTAACCAGACTTTCTCTCTCTTCCCGCCTTGGCCCATGGGATGTCCCTATCCTACCCCTCCCTGGCTGGCTGCCCCGCGCCTGCCTCCCTTTCTCCAGCAGCAGGAGGACAGTCTGGAGAAGGTCATCAAAGACACAGAGTCTCTGTTCAAAACCCGGGAGAAGGAGTACCAGGAGACCATTGACCAGATAGAGGTAAGGGTGTCGGCAGTGGAGGGCAGTTCCCGGGGCTCACAGGCCAGGCTGCAGGTGCGCTGCTGGCCTCCTCACTGTGGGACCCCAAGGCCCTTGACAGCAGTGCGTTCCCCCCACACACAAGTTGCGGTAGCTCTAGTGGGTCCTGGAGACCTCAGGATCTAGAGGCAGATAGATGTGGGTTCAAATCTTGTTCATCACCACCCGGAACAAATCTTTTGTCTTCCTTCTTTTCTGTTTACATGTATGTGTGTATGTATGTATTGGGCAGGGGCAGCATGTAACTGCATGGTATGTGTGTGGAGGTCAGAGTTCAGCTTGTGGGATGAGTTCTCTCCTTCCACCGTGTGGCTCCCAGGGATCGAATGCAGGTTGGGGGCTGTGTTCTCCCTGCCAGCCCTTTATCCTCTCTTTCCTTTCTTAGTTTGGTTTTGGGGGCAAGGGTGAGACAGAGGTTCTCTGTGTAGCCCTGGCTGTCCCAGAACTCACTCTGTAGACCAGGCTGGCCTGGAACTCAGAGATCCGCCTGCCTCTGCCTCCCGAGTGCTGGGATTAAAGGCGTGTGCCACCACCGCCTGACTCCCTTGTTCTTTCTGAGTACTTGCTTTATTATTTATTTATTTACAAGTTCATGTCTTGTAGTCTAGGTCCTCAAACTCCTGGTCCTTCTGCTCCCCACTCCCCATTTGCTAGGATTATGGGCATGAGCTACAACACTTCAGCTTTGCACTGTGTGTTGGTGTGTGTGTGTGTGTTGGTGTGTGCGTGTGTGCACACTTGCATGTGCAGATGTGCATACACGTGTGTAGAGGCCAGAATACAAACCTAGTATTGTTCTTCTTTCTTTTTTTTTTAAATTTTTATTTTTTTCAGAGCTGAGGACTGAACCCAGGGCCTTGCGCTTGCTAGGCAAGCGCTCTACCACTGAGCTGAATCCCCAGCCCCTAGTATTGTTCTTTAGATGTGGTTAACTTTAAAAAAAAATTGAGATGGTCTCTTACTGGTCTGGAAGTTGCTGAGTAGGCTCTGCTGGCTGGCCAGGGAGCTCTAGGCATCCGTCTGTCTGTCTGTGCCTTCTCAGCTTCGGGATTACAGTGTGCACTGCACGGTCTAGCCTTTTTAGTGTGGCTTCTGGGATCCACGCAGGTCTCCATGCTCATCAGGTAGGCGCTCCGCTGAGTGAGGTGTACCCCAGATAGCTCCTCCATTCTTCCTGGTTCTTTGACACCAGCTCTCTGATGCTTTTGTGGGCACACACTTTTTCTCTCTCCTTTTCCTTTCTGTGTCGCCTTTTTTACTTCGTGTGTGTGTGTGTGTGTATGTGTGTGTGTGTGTGTGTGTGTGTGTGTGTGTGTGTCTGCGTGAGCGCCCCTGGAGGCCAGAAGAGGGCATCAGATTCCCCAGAGCTGGAGTTCACAGCTAACTGTGAGCCCATGACATGGGTGCTGGAAAACAAATTTAGGTCCTCTGCAAGAGCAGGAGTGCTCTAAGCTCCCATACAGGGTCTTTCTGTGTAGCCCAGGCTGGCCTCAAACCAGAAGCAGTCCTCCTACCTCAGCCTCCAGAGTGCTGGAGTTACAGATGTTCACTGCCACGCTAAGCTCGGGCCTGCCTCTTTATTGTCAAATGGAGATTGCGAATCTCTCCCCTCAGGCCAGGTTATTAGGACGATCAGATAGAGCCAGACACGTGGCACCGGGGACAGAATCTGGCAGGTTGACATGCCATAGCGTGTCCTGTTTATTACCAGGAACAGCCTAAGCGCTGTAGCACTCAGAGGGACTCCTGCCCTCTTGGCTCAGCCCTTGAGCTCCTGGAGGAGAGAGTCTCCCTTTTCATTTTTGAGCCTGGGGGAGTCCTTTATAAATGGTGATAGGGGCTGGAGAGATGGCTCAGAGGTTAAGAACAATGGCTGTTCTTCCAGTGGTCCTGAGTTCAATTCCCAGCACCCACATGGTGGCTAAAAACCATCTGTAATGAGATCTGGTTCCCTCTTTGGGCCTGCAGGGACACATGCAAACAGAACACTGTATACATAATAAATAAATAAATCTTTAAAAAAAAATAAAATAAATGGTGATAGAGCTGGGGTTCGACCCGTCCTGCTGAGCCGCAGGCAGTTTTGTAGGGAGGAGGTCACTGTGGGGGAGGGGTGGGTGGGTGGGGCGGGCTGTGTGAGGACTGTGTCTTGGACTTGGATGTGTGAATGACGCAGGAGACTTGTGTGTCCAGCCTCCCTGCAAGCCCTGAGGTGTGTTCCCAGGCCTGTAGGGACTGCCCCGGTTTGCATTTTGAGAATGAACTTTGGAAGTTATTTCCCTGTGTTCTCAGTGTCCCGGCACACGTCCAGTGGTCACACTATCGCAAGAAAGACCAGGGTTTTTGTTCCTAACCCCGGGAAACGCTGAGTCTCAGAGGCCCAGCCAGTGTTCTGTCACCAGCTGAGGTTTGTCTGGGGACAAGGGACCTTCTCCCATCTCCTGTACACCCCTCTTACTACCCCTTCCCTCCCTGGGTTGTGCCCACCTTGGGATGGTGGATTTAAGGCTCAGTTTCTTCATGCCGTCAACCAGGTAGGGGTCTTAGCACAGCGGTTAGGGCTGCCGCTCTTCTGTGGTTCATCCCTCGGACCACAAATGCCTGTTGTAAACATGATCTGGTGAGACAGAAAAGAGCATCCTGGGTGGTGACTGCGGCTCAGTTGGTAGAGTGCCTGCCTACCATGCATGAAGTCCTGAGTTCATCTCAGCACCACGTGAAACTGGGTGTGGTGGTGTGAGCCTGTAGTCCTAGCACTTGGGAGGTAGAGGCAGGAGGATCAGAGGTCCATGGTCATCATCCTCAGCTACATAACAAGTTTGAGGCCAAGCTGAGCTACATAATCCTTGTCTTACAAAAATACTCTGAGCCGGGCTGTGGTGGCACATGCCTTTAATCCCAGCACTTAGGAGGCAGAGCCAGTCATATCTCTGTGAGTTCGAGGCCAGCCTGGGCTACAGAGTGAGATCCAGGACAGGCACCAAAACTACACAGAGAAACCCCGTCTTTAAAAAAATATATTCTGAAGGGGAAACATGGTTTTGAAGTTGTTTTCTAAGTTGTGTGACCTCTGTCCTCTCCTAGGAGAATGGCTTGAGGAGGAAGGTGAAGGAAGTTCCCTTGGTGGACTTGGTGGCAGCGTTGCTCCTGGGGTCTTCCTGGGGCATCTGAAATGCCTTTGTCTTTGGGACCCTTGATCTCAGTGTCACTGAGGTAGAGCGGCCCCATTGCTAGATGGGAAAGCTGACGGTGGGTGGGAGCTTCTTCCACGGCCCCTCCATCTCTCCATCTACCTCTACTGTGCTGATCTCCCACGCTGAGTCTGGAATTGGGGTGACTTGTTGAAGACGTCCTCTAGAATGTGCACCTTCCCCTTCAGTGTGTAAATTAGGGTGATGGACAGACAGACAGACAGACATGCAGAGACCGCTGTTGGCTGTGCTGCTTTTGCTTTGAGACACCATTTTTGCTTCACTTCTGTCTCCTAGAATAGTAGGTTCTAGCCTTGTCCCCTGTAATCTTCCTGAGGAAGAGCACAGGTGCGTGTGCGTGCGTGCGTGCGTGCGTGCGTGCGTGCGTGCGTGCGTTGACCTGGAGTATCATATTTTTCTCACTGGGAGCACAGATTGCTGGGGAACAAGCTTGCCTTTCAAGCCATCTCCACCGTGGCTTACAAGCCAGCTGTCCAGCAGATGACCCAGAATGCCGGTGTCCTGGCTCTCCCCTTTGTCTGCTGCTGTGGCCCATTTCCTCCTTCTGTCTGCCCATTCCCACCCGCTGCCCAGGTCACATTTGTTTCGGGTGGCTTCCCCCCTGCTTAGTCACACGCTTCCCAGCCCCTCTTCTGCCTTCTCTTTGCTCTCAGGCAGCCAAGCAAATCACCCCACAGCAGCTTGGCTCTCCCCTTCTGGCCCCTGGCCTTTGTACCCCAAACAAAGAGAGGCAGCAGATTGTCCCTGGCCTAGATACGTTTCCGCCTCAGCCCACTTTTTCTCTCTGCCTGGAGTCAGCTCTGGAGGGAGACTTCTTGACGCAGGGACCCTGTTTCTTCCGTACGAACCTTCTGAAATGAGGGTGTATCTTGTAATCAGTCAGTATGGACGTCTCTATGTGTGGGGGAATGGGTGATGAGTGGGAAAATGAAGCGGAGTGAAACGCTAATAAATAGCAAGCCAGGATTCCTCCCTTACAGTGAGTCTTTGGGCTACTTCACAGTGAACTAGCTCCAGCTGAGGGAGGGCTGCCGGCTGCAGGATGAAGAGATGAGCAGGACTCTGCCTGCCCTTAAAGGATCTGAGCTCAGGAGTCAGTGAGGAAAGCCAGTGTATCACACAGAGGACCAGGGTGAGCTGAGCCAGAGAAACCAGGCAGGAGCAAAGCATCCCGTAGGCCGCTATTTCTGTTTATGCTGCGGAGTCCCTCTGCCCTGTCCACACCAACACTGCCCTCCTTGTTACCCTCTGTTTTTCTCTTGGGGAGTTGTAGGAATTGAAGCCAGGACCCACTCTAGCAGGTTCTCTCACAGAGGTACATCTGCTGACTGTTTTGTTTGTTTCTGTTTTTGGAGACAGTCTCTCATGTAGTTCGAGCTGGCCTCAAACTTGCCATAGACCAGGCCGAGCCTCAGCTTCTGATCCTGCTGCCTCCACCTCCCTAGTGGATTGCAGACACATGTCACCAGGACCAGTTTAACGTGGTGCTGGGGATCGAACCTATGGTTTTGTTGCATGCTAGGCAAGCCTACGACCAGCTGAGCTATATTGCCTGTCCACACCTTTAAACACTTTTTAAAAATTTAAATTTGGGCTGGACAGTGGTGGCGCACGCCTTTGATCCCAGCACTAGGGAGGCAGAGGCAGGTGGATCTCTGTGAGTTCAAGGCCAGCCTGGGCTACAGAGTGAGTTCCAGGACAGGCACCAAAGCTACACAGAGAAAAAAAAAACAAAACAAAAAATTCAAAGTTTATTATTATTATTAGAGTGTGTGTCCACATGCTATGGCGCATGTGTGGAGGTCAGAGAACAATTTGGACTTGGTTCAAGCTTCTACCATATGGGTCCCTGGTATCAAATTTGGATTGCCAGGCATGTGCAGCAGGTGCCTTATCCGCCGAGCCATCTGGCTAGTCCTGTTCTATCCCCCCTCTTACCCCCCCCCCCCCAGGCAGGGTTTCTCTGTGTAACAGCTCTGGCTGTCCTGGAACTTGCTCTGTAACCAGGCTGGCCTCGAACTCACAGAGATCCGCCTGTCTCTGCCTCCTCTGCTGGGTCTAAAGGTGTGTGCCACCGTGCCTGGCTTCCTTCTGCTTTTTGAGACCAGGTTTTACCATTTAGGTTTTAGGTTTACATCCAGCTGCCCTTGAAATCAAATCCCCCTGCCTTGGCTCCTGGTTGTTGGAATTATAGGTGTGCTGCTCACTAGACTGTGCTCTTATTGGTCTCTTACCAAGAACTCAGGCATCGAACTGATTCTGGGGGCGGAGGAGAGTGTAGAGATTCCCAGGAAAAGGCCGAGTGTGGAGCACTGTCCTGAGCACCCTTGCCTAGCCAGAGTGAGGGCCTGGAGTGAGGTTGTCGCTAACTGGGTCCTCCCCCATATCTAGGGAACCAGGCAGCTGTGGGCTACTTGATGTTTTCTCATGTTTGGTTTCTTTTGAAGTCCAAGCTTTTAGCTATGGCTGCCTGGCCTCCAGGGGCCAGCTGGTGCTCTAATCCACTGTCTGCCCTGGGCTTGCTAACCTCCTCATCCTGCCCTGCCCTATTTTACTGCAGCTGGAACTGGCCACGGCCAAGAACGACATGAACCGACATCTGCATGAGTATATGGAGATGTGCAGCATGAAGCGGGGCCTGGACGTGCAGATGGAGACCTGCCGCCGGCTCATCACACAGTCAGGGGACCGGTAAGGACCCGCCCCCATTGGGCCCATGTCCCCTGCCCAGGAAAGAAGGGTGGGATAGAGCCTTGGTGACCTGTGGGCAGTGACCAGATCACATCTTCAAGTGGAGCTGTCCTTGGGAGTCACCTGTAGGTGTGGCCCATAACTTCCTCTCGCTGCCCTGGCCGGCAGATGCAGCCTACTAGTGCCCCAACTGTCTAAGAGCCGAAACCTGGCCAGGAACGAAGAGATGCAGGTTTACGTCCAAAGTCAGAGATCATGATTTATGTATTTGACCCTGTGTAAGAGTAAATTTGGGGTTGGGGAAAAAAGCTCAGTGGTAGAGTCCTTGTCTAGCCTGTGTGAGGCCCTGTATGTACACACACACACACACACACACACACACACACACACACACACACACACACACACACACACGAGACAGAGACAGAGAGAGAGAGAGAGAGACAGACAGACAGACAGACAGACAGAGAGACAGAGAAAACTTAAAAAAAAACCTGGGGTCTGGAGAGATGGCTCATTGGTTAAGAGCACTCACTGGCTGCTCTTCCAGAGGACCTGGGTTCAATTCCCAGCATCCACATGGCAGCTCACACCTGTCTGTGACTCTAATTCCAGGGCTTCTGACAGGCATACATGCAGGCATACATGCAGGCAAACACCAATTAACACAAAATAAAAATAAATTATATTTAAAAAAATCTGTGGGCTGGAGAGATGGCTCAGAGGTTAAGAGCACTGGCTGTTCTTCCAGAGGTCCTGAGTTCAATTCCCAGCAACCACATGGTGGCTCACAACCATCTAGAATGATATCTGGTGCCCTCTTCTGATCTGAAGGGATATGTGCAAGCAGAAGCAGAACATTGTATACATAATAAATAAATCTTTAAAAAAAAAAAAAAATCTGTAGGCTAGCATAGTGGTACATGTCTGCCATCCCAGACTTGGGAGGCTGTGGCAGAAAGATTGTCATGAGTTTGAGGCTGTCCTGGACTACAATAGCAAAACCGTGTCTCAAACAAAATAAAACAAACAGCAACAACAGCAGATAAAATCTTAAGGCACCACAGTGAGGCAGGTGTGGTAGTGCACATCTGTCACCCAGGTGCCTAGGAACCACATGTACTAGGCCAGGCTCACTTCTGTATAGAGTTCCAGGCCAGCCAGGAATGCATACTGAGACCTTGCCTCAAAACAAAAAACCCAGCCCACGCCACTAAATACATTAAGCTGGGCATAATGTGCATGCTTACTGGGTTTAATGGCCTTTGTTTATCATCCCAGCTACTTTGGAGGCAAGAGGATTGAGGTCAACCTTGGCAACACAGTGAGCGTCCCCACCCCCACACCCCATTACGGCTGGACAAGCTGGGCCCTAGTATTAGTACTTGTGGGCCCAAGGAACACCTCCATGCTGTGACTTGAGACTTTCTGATCTCTCTCAAAGCCTCCAAAATAAGAGGGAAACTGTTCCCCATCGAGGTGAATAGGGACGAGACTTCCCACCCCACTTCCCTGCCTGGCACCCAGCTGCATCCCAAAAGATAAGGCCATAGAAGGCGAGCATGCAAGCCTCCTTAGGCTTCCTGCTTGCCCAAGGTGACATCTGGTGTTTTTTCCTAGAAAGTCTCCTGCTTTCACTGCGGTCCCGCCTAGCGACCCGCCGCCACCGCCAAGTGAAACTGAGGACTCCGATCGGGATGTCTCATCTGATAGCTCCATGAGATAGGGCCTGGCTGGCTCCCTCGAGCTCCCTGAGGCGGGGCTGTGGGTCTGCAGAGGACTGTCTTGTGCCACTGCATGAAGCCTGGCCCCGGGGCTGTGTGCTCCTTCCCTGGGCTGCCTCCTCCCCAGGGTTCCAGGGGTGTCTGGAGCTAGGCTGGGCCCCACCCTTCCTGGACAACTCCCGTCACATCGGGGCACTCCTGCCTTCTTCACATGTGGCTATTTGCTACTTCTCCTCCATCTTTGAAATGCTGCCAGAACACTTGTGATCCCCCTTCTCCATTCTGGGAGGAATGTGACTATGGGACCTGCCTGTTCTCCTCGGCTGTCTTGGATTTTTGGACTGGTGCTAACTGGCCCAGGCACTGCTGGGAAGCAGATTCATCTGGGAGTCCCTGAGGGTTTGCACATCATGTACATTTGGAGAGTTTATTTCCTAGTGAGGTCTCGGAGGGAGGCCAGGCCCCTGGCATTCTGTCCTGTGTCCACGTGCTCACAGCTGCCCACCTGCCTATTACCCAGTGAGCGTGGCTCTGTAGTTTTCCCTTTGGGAAGTCCACACAGAGAACTGGGCCTGGGCTGAGGGTAGAGTCCTGAGGGGAGCCGCTGGAGGTTAGCTGATGCCTGCACATGGGTGTGGGTGTGTGCTCAGGGTCTGTTTTTCCAGAGTTCAGCTGAGGGAGTTGTCTATCATTCACAAAACCAACAGGTTAAGATGTCTCTGACCTTGGAAAGTAGGGGACAAAGTCAGAGGTCTCTGGAATCTTTAACAGTAATGAAGAGTATTTATTGAGCATCTTCGTGTCACTGTCTTAAGCACTTTCTGATGTACTTTTAATGTTGGCTTTCTGAGACACGGCTTCTCTAACAGCTCAGGCTGGCTTTGAACTCAGAGATCCTGTCTCTGCCACCCACACTGGGATTGGGCATCCACCACCACTGCCCCACCTGAGGCCTGATGTCCACACAATGAAGCACTGGTTACAAGTGATTGCCCTGGAACCAGAGCGCCTACAACTCAGCTGTCCCAGGCTGCACAGTGCAGCCACATCCCTTCACGGACACATTTTAACTGTTTTGGGCATCCTTCCAGTTTTATCTAATCTAATTAACCTTTGTTTGCAAATAAAAGACACAGACCTGGGACTTGATGCAGTCAGCCCAGGGGTCAAAGACCATACGTACTTCCTGTCTCCTGTCAGCCCTCATTCCTCACATTGCCAGACAGCTCAGGTGGTTTTTTCCTGTTCCAGACAGGTAGCCTGAGTTTAGGACGCAGCTCGGTAGGTCACAGCCTCCCCCCCCTTCCCCCCCGTATTGAGACACCAAGGAGGATGGGTGCAGTGAACTTTATTGATGGTGTTCAAGAGAGTAGGGCTCCCTAAGTCCCTCCTGTTGTTCTGGGGGTCTGGGATGGAAACTGTGAGGGAGATGCTCAGTATCGGGGGCTGAGATGGGACAGGAACTGCTCAGCAGCCGAGGGTCTCTCTTGCTGTCCTTGCTGGGGTGGGTGGTTCAGGGCGGGCTTCTTACTCCTTGGAGGCCATGTAGGCCATGAGGTCCACCACCCTGTTGCTGTAGCCAAATTCATTGTCGTACCTAGAGCGCATTGGTTGGGAGGACAGTTAGGAAGGGTTTCTTTCCTGAGCTAGCCACCAGGGGGTGCCAAACAAACCCCATGTTACTTTCAAAAGCCGATCCCCCACATACCAGGAAATGAGCTTCACAAAGTTGTCATTGAGAGCAATGCCAGCCCCAGCATCGAAGGTGGAAGAGTGGGGGTCACTGTTGAAGTCGCAGGAGACAACCTGGTCCTCAGTGTAGCCCAGGATGCCCTTTAGTGGGCCCTCGGACGCCTGCTTCACCACCTTCTTGATGTCGTCATACTTGGCCTGTCAAGGGCAAAAATCAAGATGATGATTATCGAAGCCCCAGCCTCACCGCTACACCAGAGACAACCCCCAACCCACCCATAACGTACAGGTTTCTGCAGGCGGCATGTCAGATCCACGACGGACACATTGGGGGTAGGAACACGGAAGGCCATGCCTGTGAGCTTCCCGTTCAGCTCTGGGATGACCTTGCCCACAGCCTTGGCGGCACCGGTGGATGCAGGGATGATGTTCTGGGCAGCCCCACGGCCATCACGCCACAGCTTCCCAGAGGGGCCATCCACGGTCTTCTGGGTGGCAGTGATGGCGTGGACTGTAGTCATGAGTCCTTCCACAATGCCAAAGTTGTCATGGATGACCTTGGCCAGGGGGGCTAAGCAGTTGGTGGTGCAGGAAGCGTTGCTGAAGAGAAAAGGCAAGTTAGGAGGCTCTGTCTCCTGTAACCTCACCCCTGCCCGCCCACCTCGACATCCTTACCTGATAATCTTGAGTGAATTGTCGTACTTCTCATGGTTGACACCCATCACAAACATGGGGGCGTCAGCAGAAGGGGCGGAGATGATGACCCGTTTGGCACCGCCCTTCAAGTGGGCCTGTGTAGGAGAAATTAATTTCGGACCCAATCCTTTTTAGGCCACACTAAATAAATGGAAGGGTTCCCCTCAACTTCAGCCTTCCCCTCACTTACCCCAGCCTTCTCCATGGTGGTGAAGACACCAGTGGACTCCACAACATACTCGGCTCCAGCGTCACCCCACTTGATGTTGGCGGGATCTCGCTCCTGGAAGATGGTGATGGCCTTCCCGTTGATGACCAGCTTCCCGTTCTCAGCCTTGACTGTGCCGTTGAACTTGCCATGGGTGGAGTCGTACTGGAACATGTAGACCTGGAAGGAGGGGGAGGGCATCAGGGGACTGTCAGCAGCTTGTCCCCATCCCCTGCAGGAACAGTACCCACCATGTAGTTGAGGTCAATGAAGGGATCATTGATGGCAACGATATCAACTTTGCCAGACTGGAAGGCAGCCCTGGCAACCAGGCGTCCAATGCGGCCAAATCTGAGAGGCAAGAAAAAAAGAGTTGGGGTTAGAGAACTCCCCGTGGGACTAGTCAGCACTGGGCGAACTCATGCTCTTGAGAAGGCAGAGCACTTTTTGTGGAGATTCAATGCGGTATTAGAAGGTAAGCAGCAGGAAATTCATGTCTAAATTCCCCTTAATGAAGCTGGCTGAATGCTTAGACGCAGAACCCAAATATAGAAGGCCTCCTTGCCTAGGGAGCCCCAAGAGGTCTAATTTTATCTTCCTTGAGCATCCGAGGCTTTTACAGCAGTCATAAACTGGGGGTTCCTTTCCTGTCCAAGAGGCGGTTAGGCTCAAAGCTTTGTCCCCACCCCAAATCATTTCAAGTCTCTAGGAAGTGGCAGTTTGTCCCAACCTGGGCACAAGGCATCCACCCCCCACACCATTCACACCCTGGGAAGTTTGTTCCAGCCTGGCCCGGCTTCAGGCTACACCCCTGGACAGGAAGGATTTGTGCACTCAGCAGCACCAAGCTCAAAGGGCAAGGTTAAAGGTCAGAATGAGCGGGACAACGTCAGCCCACCTGCTTCCTCCAAGTCCCTCCCCCTGAAGGGAAAGAGGTTGAGGAAACCAGTGGGCTTTCCAACCCCTAATCCCAGGGCTCGAATGTGCAAAACACCTGTCTTTCCTAACTAAAAACCAGGAGCAGGAGCAACAGATGTGTGTGTAGGGGCCAACGGTGTTGGAGCTCAGACCCCAGAAAGAGAAAGGTCAGACAGCTAAATTTAACCTCAGATCAGGGTGGAGCGGGGAGATCTGGTTTCTGGGGAATGGAGTGAGGAGAAGGGCAGGATCCCGAGGTTCAGAGACACCCAATCCTCTTAGTGACCTTTACAGTCTGGCCTATAGGGTCTGGGTCAGTGTTAGGCAGTGATGGGAAGTGGAGGTTATGGAGGGAAGGGGCTGCTACCACCGGAGCCATTTTGTGGTGGAAATTTTCTTTTTGGAACCACCATGACTCAGCCACCCCCCCACCCCGCCCTACGCCATAGCTACCACACCTCTGGCGCTAGGAGGACAAGCGGACCTCTCTTAAATCCACTTTGATTCTTTGAGAACAATCTAGAAAAATGCATCCTATGCCCGAGGAAAATCAGGCTTGAGGCTGCTTTGAGGCTAATAAGATGAGACGGCTTGTGAGGTAGCAGCTCTCTTGAGAGCACGGAAGCCTTGCATCACCTGGCTTACAGGACAGTGGCGACTCCACCCGGCAGGGGGAGGAGGCGGGAAGGTTAGTCACAAGCTAGGAAGGAGGAAGGCCGATGGAAGGTTTCCTAACGGTGGCTCATTCATTTCCTTCCCGTTTGCAACATGGCGGCGGCCAGCTACCCTAAGGGAAGCCCTTAGGAGGTGATGCGCTAAGACGTGCGCACCTCGCAGCCCTGTGCACCGACCAGGAGGAAGGGGGCGATGGGGGAGGGGCTCCCCTCCTGACACGTGACTCCTCAGGGCGCGAAAGTAAAGAAAGAAGCCCCAGCCAGGGGATTAGGGGATGGATCCTGAGCAGGCGTGCGCGCGCGGGGGGTGGGGTGGCCCTAGTATAGACTTCGGGCTGCTCATCCCCTCCAGAGCGGGGTTCCATGCGGCGCAACAGCCAAGAGCCATGAGCCGTCCGATCGCTGACCTTGAGGTCTCCTTGGATGCAGCGGCCACCCATCCACCTCCCTACGCTACTGCAAAGCCCCCGGGTCAGCTAGATCTGCATACGCAACGGAACGGGGCCCGGAGCCCCACCCTGGCCCAGCCCCGAACTCACCCGTTCACTCCGACCTTCACCATCGTGTCTCAGGAACGAGGCTGCGGGAGAAGAAAGTGAGATCAGCGTGGCCCGAGGTGCACCAGGCGACCCCTCCTCCCCCTCCCCGCCTCCATTCCCGCCGTGCGCCCCATCACGTCCTCCTCCAGCCCCTGCAATGCGGAGCCCGGGCTCGGCCAGCGGAACTCGCACCAGCGCCCCCAGACCCGGACAGCGCGCGCCCCCTTCCCGGTTTCCGACGGGTCCCCGGCCTCCTGCGGCCCGCTCTGCGTTTTTCACCTGGCACTGCACAAAAAGATGCGGCTGTCTCTGGAACAGGGAGGAGCAGAGAGCACCGGGGAGGGCTGCAGTCCGTATTTATAGGAACCGGGTGGGGGTGGGGAGCTTATGACGTGCGCCCCGCCTCCCGCCCCGCTCATCCAGTCCCAGCTCAAGGGCGCCGGGGCCTGAGCTACGTGCACCCGTAAAGCCGCGAGTAGCTGGGCAGCTCTCTCGTTTTTTTTTTTTTTTTTTTTTTTTTCTTCCCCATTCTTTTTGGACCCGCCTCGTTTTTGAAATGTGCACGCACCAAACGTGTGGGCTCCTTGCTGGGAGGGGGAGGGGAGCTGAGATTGACTCGCTGGGGAGTTGACCCGGTGATGGATCCCAGGATAGGGCTGAGGGAATACAGACTATGGACTTAAGGGCGAGCAGTGTGCACCAAGGACATCCAGGACCCAGGGACCTGAAAGTTGCGGCCCGAATATGATGGGAGGGACCTTGGGAGCTGCGGGAGGGAACGGGGGAAATGGAACAGAAGTGAGGGGCCGCCCACAGCTGCACCGTCGACCCTCTCCCCCTTTTGAAAAGGCTGCGGAAAAGTTGAGGATCGTCTCCTCGTTGTTCTTCGGTAGTGACACAGGCAAAATAAGAAGCGAGCAGAAGAAACAGCCCGGGAGGGGCTACCTTGCCTCCTGCGGGGGCCCTTCGCAGCCCCCCTCCCCCAGGCTTCCTTTTCTTGGGCCTGAGGCCTGGCTGTGTACTGGGCTGTAAGGGCAAGGAGGCTAGGGAAGACGCCTGAAGGGCGGTCCCTACGCCATAGATCGGGGTGCCCTACAGCCTGGAGACCTGGTAATGGAGACATACAAACACCTCTCTGTGTTCACCAGCTAAGGCCTAGGTTGGGGCCCCCGGAGTGAGGACAGTATCCTGGCTGTGGGTTGGGTTGGAGGAGGCCAATAGGTCTCCCGTAGTGTCCCTCCTCGGAACCTGAGGGTGGCGCCGCCCAGGCTAGGAGACACTGCCCCTTTCACCCACTGCAGCCCCAGGGTGGAGAGCTGGACGTGAGGGCGGAAGTCCCTCCCCGTCCTGGGACGTGCCTGCTGGCCCTGCAGCCAGGGACTCTCCTTTCTTGGCTGCCCTCGTGGTCGCAGGGTGAGGTCAGAGGGGCAAGTGTGGAAGGGGAGGTATTATGCCCTGAGCCGGAAGAGGCAGACCCCCCAGTCCCTTCCCACACGTGGTTAGGAGAAAAGCGATTCCCGTTGTTCTGAAGTGTAGGGAGGGTGGAAGAGGTGGGTTCTGAGCACTTGGAAGGGCTTGGGGGCCTTCAGCAGGTGCAGGACGGGGATCCTGGGGCCTCTTTGCTAGGCTGGTGCAACTTGAGACAGCCCCCTGCCCTTCTGGCTGAAGAGCCTAATTGCTAAGTTTAGCTGGCCTGGTGATAACCTTTGCTTAAAAGGCAGGGAGCACGCTGGGCTGCACCCCAAATCCACTCCTGGCTCCGTGCCCTTCTGGGATTGCCCTACCTCTCTGGGGCCCCAGAGCCAAGGCTGGGAGACCGACAGCTGTGTGGCCCATGCCCAGGCTTCCCACGAGCAGGGAGCGGGCTATGTGGACAGGATGGAGAGGGTGGGAGAGGTCCCAGTGCTGTGGGGGAGCAGAGGCGTCTCAGAGACTCCTCGGCCTTGTCCCTTGTCTGTCTTCCTTCCAACAGAGCTCCGTGAGCAGCATTAACCCTTTCCCACCAGAAGGTCTCAGGAACCCCTCCATAGCCCTGCCCTAAAGCATGCTTCTGAGGTGCCATATTCCCTTTTCCTCATGCCCATCATCTGTCATTACTGTTCTCCCAACACACACACACACACACACACACACACACACACACACACACACACACACACACACACGAGGTAGGGAGCTTTTCCAAGGCAATGTGCTGTTGTCATGACAGCGGAAACACCAGTGTGCCTCCTCTTCCAAGTGACTCAGCAGACTAAGGGCTTAGGGAGGGTGGGCAGCACGCAGCATGGCTTGCAGCTGAGGGCCTGGACCTCCTGCAGACCCCAGTACATAGTGCAGAGCTGGGGGTGGGGTGGGGGGCTCATGATCTCCGCCATCAGCCAGGCCAAGCCATTTGCCAGTCTTCCGGGACGGGGCACATGGAGGAAACAAACCCTTGGTCTAAAGCACACTGCTGCCGTGTTGTGGGGTGACCCATGCATGAAGGATGTTAGCATCATCCTTGCAAGGTTTTCACTGACTGGGTACTTAGAGCGGCTCCCTGTCCCACAAGGCTGTGACAGAAATAGGTCTCTGGGTATTGTCAAATGTTTTCTGCATACAAAGTACCCCCAGGCTGAGAAGTGCATGTGAACCTAGAAACCATGTAATTCTCTACAGTGGACTCTGTCCAGTTGTTCAAGACGAAGCAATTTGGGAACAAGAAAATCCAGACAGCTTCAGGATGCCTGGGCTTGCTTATCTGCTCTCTGGATTGATAGATAACCCTCTATCTCTATCTGAATCTGGGCTAAGGTGAAAGATGAAACAGACCAGATAAGACAGAATGCTTAAAAGTATATAAAAGCATTTATTCACTAGAAAACAGTGATTGTAAGTGTCTTGGAAAGTGAACACAGCAGACAGATGGGCTCTAAGAGAAAGGCCTTCAAAGCAAAGACCATTTACACGTTAAAAACAAGGAGGCAACACACATGTTACAGGGAGGAACGGAATGCAGAACCATCAGTGAGACCCTGCACGGCAGGGACACGGAGGTGAAGACATCTCCTAGGACCTGTGTCTTCGCGCAGATGCTCTGCGGATGGGGGTGGTTCTCTTGGGTGTCTCTTCTTCCGTCATCTCTGCTGAAAGCTCTGTTCAAAGAATTATAGGAACAAAAGCTGAGTCACCAAGATGGTGCAAAACGGATCTTAAAAAATAAACAGAGTTGCAAGCACACTGCGGAGGTCAGCGGAGCTGCAGGGCGGGGAAGATGTTACCAGGAAGAAGACCGAATCTACCCAGGCAAGCCCTGCTGAGACCCCAGGCAAGCAGCCTGGGGAGGGCGGTCATACCGTCCTCACTGGCCTCATCGCTGGAAAAGACAACTTTGGCTTTCTTCTTGGACTTGGATTGCTGAGTGTTTGGACGACGAGGGTTGGTGCGTCGGGGCTTAGGTGTGACAAAGTCATTGTCTGAATCTACAGAGGTCAGAGGCTGCTGCCTGGAGACTAGAAATGGCAGAGACATGATTTCAAAAACAAAAACAAACCCCAAAGGAAAAAGATAAAAGATGGTGACTGTGGAGAGCCCCATGAGGGCTTGTCTCGTACCAGCAGAGGGTTTCTTGGAAGACAGGGCTCTCTGGCTGCCTCCTTGGCCAGTTTCAAGCTCCTCTGCTCCATCCATGCCTCTGGTGTGACAGGCCCGAAGCTTCTGCTCAAATTCATCTATGACAGCCTAGTGGAAAAAGGTTAAAAACAGGGCTGGAAACATTATCTCCCAGTTTAAAAACAGCTATGAAAGAAACAGAAAGACGCCGGGTGGTGGTGGCACACGCCTTTAATCCCAGCACTCAGTAGGCAGAGGCAGGTGGATCTTTGAGTTTGAGGCCAGCCTGGTCTACAGAGTGAGTTCCAGGACAGACTCCAAAGCTACACAGAGAAACCCTGTCCCGAAAAAAACCAAATAAATGAATGAATGAAACAGATTTTAAATGCTTATTCTAAGTGGAAGAGGCCAATCTGAAATCAGTATATGTGGTGAGTGACCCCACCACAGGGGTGAGGTGGTCTCAGGGTAGTGAAAATGTCCAGTACAGCACTGGAGTGACGAGTATGTGCCACTGTATTCAGTGAAAACTGTGGACTTGAGCACTGATCTATCAGTCATTCAGTTAATCACATTCGTTCCTCCAGTCGATGTAGACTGAGACCACAGTACCCAAGGACAAGAGCTGATGGTAGAGGACATAAGTGTACTGGGACAGGAGCAAATGGGGACTCTGCTTACTCAGCTTTGCTTTAAACATGAAACTACTCTAAAAAAGAAGTCTAGTGCCAAGCATGTGGGGTACATTTACTACCCGCACAAGGGAGGCAGAGCCTGGGGAATCTGAGTTCGAGGCCAGCCTGGTCTACATAGCAAATTCTAAGCCAGCTAGTGCTACACAGAAAGACCATGTCTCAAGTAGAGATTGACTCTTACTAGGGGCTGGAGAGATGGCCCTGGCTGCTCCTGCAGAAGACCTGGGTTCAATTCCCAGCACCCACATGGCAGCTCACAACTGTCCGTAACTCCAGGTCCAGGGACCTGACACCCTCACACAGACTACACACAGGCAAAACACCAATGCACATAAAATAAAAAGAAAATGGCCTTTAAAGGGGGACTGGGAATTGGACATAGAAAGATCTGGTCTCAAGCCACTCTGGTTAAATGGTTGTCGTACGGCCAGCAAGGCAGGAAGTTAGGAGTCCCACAGCACTCCGGGAGAGAGGGTGTGTTTACTGCACCGGACCCAAGAGGGCCAGTGCCCTGCGCCACTCACCTTGCCCTCAGGCTTGGCCCCACGACGCAGTTTGCCCACAACCAACAAGAAAGATCCGAAGACAGATTCGTCCAACAGCTTGTCTCCAAAGCAGTCAAAGTGGTCCAGCATCTTGTGGAGGCCGCGCTCCGTGAGGGGCAGCTGGGACACACAGTAGGCCAGATCGCGGTACTGCCGCTCAGTTCTGCACAAGGGGGGGATCTTATGAGGCACGCACATACTCCCCTTCAGACTCCCTCGGTTCCGGGGCATCACTCTTCCGAGGAAGGAAAGACCTCCCCAAATGGCAGCATACCGGGCTGTGCGGAACCGCTGACACAGCTTCTCCACCAGGCTCTCGGTCTGTTTGTCCTTGGTGATGTAGGAGAGCAGCTGCCTGTGAGGAGGGGAGTGTGACTGACCGGCCAGGGAAGCTCCATTCTCAACTACTACACCGAATCCACCTCCACCCCACCCACCCCTGTCCTTGCTTTAGAAGAATGTTCTTGGCCATGGCCTGCCACCGTCCCTCCTGTCCCCTTCCGTTTACTGAGAATGCAGGCAAGAACAGCTGCTGTCTAGTGACTGCTGATGTGTGCGTCCCAC